CACTTTTTGATAGGGTTGTTTGTTTTTTGCTTGATGATTTGTTTGAGTTCTTTGTAGATTCTGGATATTAGTCCTTTGGGGAATGTATAGATTGTGAAGATTTTTCTCCCATTCTGTGGGGTTTGTTAACTCTGATTAGTTCTTTTGCTGTGCAGAAGGTTTTTAGTTTAATTAAGTTCCGTCTATTTATCTTTGTTTTTGTTGCAATTGCTTTTGGGTTCTTGGCCATGAAGTCTTTGCCTAACCCAATGTTTAGTAGGGTTTTTCTGATGTTATCTTCTAGAGTTTTTATGGTTTCAGTCTTAGATTTAAGTCTTTGATCCACCTTGAGTTGATTTTTGTATAAAGTGAGAGATGAGGATCCAGTTTCATTCTTCTACATGTGGCTTGCCAATTATCCCAGCAGCATTTGTTGAATAGGGTGTCCTTTCCCAACTTTATGTTTTTGTTTGCTTTCTTGAATGTTGTCAGTATTTGGCTTTATTTCTGGATTCTCTATTCTGTTTCATTGGTCTATATGCCTATTTTTATACCAGTACCATGCTGTTTTGGTGACTATGGTCTTATATATAGTGTGGTTTAAAGTCAGGTACTGTCATGCCTCCATATTTGTTATCTTTGTTTTGTCTGGTTTTAACTATGCAGGCTCTTTTTTGGTTCTATATGAATTTTAGAATTGTTTTTTGTAGTTCTGTGAAGAATGACGTGGTATTTTGATGGAAATTACATTGAATTTGTATATTGCTTTTGGTAGTATCGTCATTTTCACAGTATTGATTCCACCCATTTATGAGCATGGGATGTGCTTCCAATTGTTTGTGTTGTCTATGATTTATTTCAGCAGTGTTTTGTAGTTTTTCTTGTAGAGGTCTTTCACCTGCTTGGTTAGGTATATTCTGAAATTTTAAAATTGTTAATGCAGCTATTGTAAAAGGGGTTGAGTTTTTTATTTGATTCTCAGCTTGGTTGCTGTTGGTGTATAGCAGAACTACTGATTTGTGTACATTAATTTTGTATCCTGAAACTTTGCAGAATTTATTTACCAGTTCTAGGAACTTTTTGGATGAATCTTTTGGGTTTTCTAGGTATATGATCATATCATCAGCAAACAGTGACAGTCTGACTTCCTCTTTACCAAGTTGAATGCCCTTGATTTCTTTCTCTTGTCTGATTGCTCTGGCTAGGACTTCCAGTAGTATGTTGAATAGAAGTGGTGAAAGTCTGCATTCTTGTCTTGTTCCAGTTCTCAGAGGGAATGAGTTCAACTTTTCCTCATTTGGTATAACATTGGCTATGGGTTTGTCATAGATGGCTTTTATTACCTTAAGGTGTATCGCTTCTATGCTGATTTTTCTGAGGGTTTTAATCATTAAGAGATGCTGGATTTTGTCACGTTTCTTCTGCATCTATTGAGCTGATTATGTGATTTTTGTTTTTAATTCTGTTTATGTAGTGTATCACATTTATTGACTTGTGGATGTTAAACCATCCCTGTGTGCCTGGTATAAAATCCACTTGATCATGGTGTATTATCTTTTTGATATGCTGTTGGATTTGTTTAGCTAGTATTTTATTGAGGATTTTTTGCATCTATGTTCATCAGGTATATTGGTCTGTAGTTTTATTTTTTTATGTCTTTCCCTGGTAGTGGCTTCATAGAATAATTTTGGGAGGATTCCCTCTTTCTCTTTCTTGTGGAATAGTGTCAATAGGATTGGTACCAATTCTTTGAACACCTGATAGAATTCAGTTGTGAATCCATCTGGTCCTGGACTTTTTTTTGTTGGGAACTTTTTTTATTACCATTTTAATCTTGTTTCTTGTTATTGGTCTATTCAGAGATTCTATATCTTCCTGGTTTAATCTAGAAGGCTTGTATATTTCTAGGACTCTATCTATCTCCTCTAGGTCTTCTAGTTTATGAGTATAAAGTTGTTCATAGTAGCCTTGAATAATCTTTCATATATCTGTGGTATCAGTAGTAATATCTCCCATTTCACTTCTAATTGAGCTTATTTGGATCTTCTCTCTTCCTTTCTTGGTTAATCTCACTAACGGCCTATCAATTTTATTTATCTTTCCAAAGAAGCTTTTTTTTTGTTTCATTTTTCTTTTGTATTGTATTTTTTTGTTTCAATTTCATTTAGTTCTGCTCTGATCTTTGTTATTTCTTTCCTTCTGCTGGGCTTTCATTTGGATTGTTCTGGTTTCTTCAGTTCTATGAAGTATTACCTTAGATGGTTTATTTGTGCTCTTTCAGACTTTTTGATATAGGCATTTAATGCTATGAACTTTCCTCTTAGTACCACTTTTGCCAAATCCCAGAGGTTTTGATAGGTTGTGTCACTATTATTGTACAGTTCAAATTTTTTTAAAAAATTTCCATATCGATTTCATTGTTGACCCAGCCATCATTCAGGAGCAGGTTATTTGATTTCCATTTATTTGGATGGTTTTGAGGAATCCTTTTGGAGTTGATTTCCAATTTTATTCCACTGTAGTCTGAGAAAATACTTGACATAATTTTGATTTTCTTAAATGTACAGAGACTTGTTTTGTGGCCTATCATGTGATCTATCTTGGAGAATGTTCCATGTGCTGATGAATAGAATGTATATTCTGCAGTTGTTGGATAGAATATTCTGTAAATATCTGTTAAGTCCATTTGTTGTAGGGTGTAGTTTAAGCCCATTGTTTCTTTGTGAGTTTCTGTCTTGATGACCTGTCTGGTGCTGTCAGTGGAGTATTAAAGTCATCCACTGTTACTGTGTTGCTATCTATCTCATTTCTTAGGTCTAGTAGTAATTGCTTTATACGTTTGGGAGCTCCAGTGCTAGGTACATATATATTTAGGATTGTGATATTCTCCTATTGGGCTAGTCCTTTTATCGTCATATAATGTCCCTCTTTGTCTTTTTTAACTGTTGCTGATTTAAAGTTTGTTTTGTCTGATATAAAGTTTGTTTTGTCTGATATAAGAATAGCTACTCCTGCTCATCTTTGGTGTCCATTTGCATGGAATATGTTTTTCCACCCACTAACCTTAAGTTTATGTGAGTCCTTATGTGTTAGGTGAGTCTCCTGAAGACAGCAGAAACTTGGTTGGTGAATTCTTATTCATTCTGCCAATCTGTATCTTTTAAGTGGTGCATTTAGGCCATTTATACTCAATGTTAGTATTGAAATGTAAGCTACTATTCTATTCATCATGCCGTTTGTTGCCTAAATACCTTGCTTATTTTTTTTTTTAATTGTGTCATTGTTTTGTAGGTCCTGTGAGATTTTGCTTTAAGGAGGTTCTATTTTGGTGTATTTTGAGGATTTGTTTCAAGATCTAGAGCTCCTTTTAGCAGTTCATATAGTGCTAGCTTGGTAGTGGCATATTCTCTCACATTTGTTTTTCTGGGAAAAAAAAAATGTATCTTTTCTTCATTTATGAAGCTTAGTTTCACTGGATACACAATTCTTAGCTGTAATTGTTTTGCTTAAGGAGGCTAAAATCAAGACCCCAATCTCTTCTAGCTTGTAGGTACTCTCCTGAGAAATCTGCTGATACTCTGATAGGTTTTCCTTTATATGTTACCTGATGCTTCTGCCTCTTAACTCTTAAGATTCTTTTCTTCCTCTTGACTTTAGATAACTTAATGACTATGTGCCTAGGCAATGATCTTTTTGTGATGAATTTCCCAGTTGTTCTTTGAGCTTCTTGTGTTTGGATCTCTAGATCTCTAGCAAGGCCAGGGAAGTTTTCCTTGAGTATTCCCTCAAATATATTTTCCAAACTTTTAGATTTCTCTTCTTCCTCAGGAACACCAACTTTTCTTAGGTTAGGATGTTTAACATAGTCCTAAACTACTTGGAGCCTTTGTTCATTTTTTTAAAACTCTTTTTTATTTTTCTTTGGTGGATTACTTTAGCTTGAAAGCCTGGTCTCTGAGGTCTCAAGTTCTTTCTTCTGTTCGATTCTATTGCTGAGACTTTCCAGTGCATTTTGCATTTTTCTAAGTGTGTTTGATTTCTAAAAGTGTGATTATTTTTTATTTATGTTATCTATTTCACCGACGATTTTTCCTTTCATATCCTGTATCATGTTTTCAATTTCTTTAAGTTGGACTGCCTCTTTCTCTGGTGCCTCCTTGATTAGCTTAATAATTGACCTTGTGAATTCTTTTTCTGGCAATTCTGAGATTTCATCTTGGTTTGGATCCATTGCTGGTGAGCTGATGTAATTTTGGGGGGTGTTAAATAAACTTATTTTGCCATATTACCAGAATTGTTTTGCTGGTTCCTTCTCATTTGCGTAGACTATGTCAGAGGTAAGATCTGGGACTCAAGGGCAGTTCAGATTCTTTTGTCCACGGGATGCTCCCTTGATGTCCTATTCTCCCACTTCCCCCAGGAACGGTGCTGCCTGAGAACCTAACTGTAGTGATTGTTTTTGCTCTTCTGGGTCTAGCTACCCAGCAGAGCTACTAGGCACTGGGTGGGTACCAGGGAGTGTCTGCAAAGAGTCCTATGATGTGAACTGTCTTCAGGTCTTTCAGCTGTGGATACCAGCACCTGCTTCGGTGGAGGTAGCAGGTGAGTGACGTGGACTTTGTGAGTGTCCTTGGCTGTACTTTTGCTTAGTGTTCTGGTTTTGTGTTGGTTGGCCTCCAGCCAGGAGGTGGCACTTTCAAGAGCACATTAGCTGTGGTACTATAGAGAGGAAGGAATCTTGGCTAGGGTCACCTAGTTAAGTACTTAGGTTTCTCAGGCAGTGGGTAGGGCCAAAAGATCCCGAGAGATTATGTCCTTTTTCTTTGGTAACCAGGGTGGGTAGAGAAAGACCAGAAGGTGGGGAAAGGGATAGGCGTGTCTGAGCTCAGCCTCTCCTTGGGCGGGGCTTGATGTGGCCGCTGTGGGGGTTGGGTGTGCAGTTCCCAGGCCAATGGAATTATGTTCACAGGGGGATTATGGCTGCCTCTGTTGAGTCACACAGGTCACCAGGGAAGTGGGGGAAAACTGGCAGTCACAGGCCTCACCCTTCTCCCACACAGCCCGCAGTCCTAAAGGCCAGTCTCACTCCCACCTGCCCTGCAACAGCACAGAGTCTATCTTGAGACAGCCAGTGACCAGGGCTAAGAACTTGCCCCAGACCACCAGCCTCCCCACTGAGAAAGCAAGCAGACTCACAGTTTTCTGGAATCTCAGGGAGCCTGCAGCAGCGATCCAGTTCCTTCAAAAGGTCTGTGGATTCTCTCAGTTTTCCTGGTATGTTCCTGTGGTATTTCTTGGAGCAAAAGCTCACAATGTGAGCCTCCACATGCTGCTCTGTCTGGCTGAATAGAAGCTGAAAGCTACTTCTGCCTCCTATCTGCCATTTTAATCCTCCTTCATGAAATCTTAATCAAAGTGGAAGCACCTTTTTCTTCCCTGGAATCCTTAAAATACCTTTCTTCTCTCTTGTGCAGCTTCTCTTATTGCACCTTATATATACAGGCATACTTTGGAGATATTGCAGGTTCAGACCACCATAATAAAGGGAGTCACACAGATTTTTTGGTTTCCCAGTACATATAAAGTTATGTTTATACTACAATGAAATATATTAAGTATGCTGTAGCTTTGTGTTTAAAATAAACAATGTTCATACCTTAATTTTAAAATAAATTATTGCTTAAAAATGTTAATAATCATTTCAGCCTTCAGCCATTTGTAAACTCTTTGTTGGTGGAGGGTTTTGCCTATATGTTGATGGCTACTGACTGATCAGGGTGGTGGTTGCTGAAGGTTGAAATGGCTGTGGCAATTTCTTAAAATAAGACCACAATGAACTTTGCTGCATCAGTGAACTCTTCCTTTCACTAAAGCTCTCTCTGTAGCATGAGATACTGTTTTATAGCATTTACCCACAGTAGAACTTTCAAAATTGGAGTCAATACTCTCAAACCCTGCCACTGCTTTATCAACTTAGTTTATGTAATTTTCTAATACTTTGGCATCCTTTTAACAATGTTAACAGCATCATCAGGAGCAGATTCCATTTCAAGAAACCACTTTCTTGCTCAGCTATAAAAAGCAATTCCTCATCCATTCACATTTTATCATGAGATTGCACTAATCTGGGTACCTCTTCAGGCCCCACTTCAAGTTCTAGTTCTCCTGTTACTTCTTTTATATCTGCAGTTACTTTCTCCATTAAAGTCTTGAATCCCTTAAAGTCATTCACGAGGGTTGGAATCAACTCTCCCAAACTCCTGTTAATGTTAATATTTTGGCCTCCTCTCATGAATCATGAATGTTATTAAAAGCATCTAGAATGGGGAATACTTTCCAGAAGATTTTCAATTCACTTTACCCAGATCCATCAGAAGAATCACTATTTATAGCTGCTATAGCGTTACAAAATGTATTTGTTACACGGTAGAGTTGGAAGTTGAAATTACCCCTTAATCCATAGGGTGCAGAATGGGTGTTTTGTTAGCAGATACAAAAACAACATTAATTTCTATGTATATCTCTATCAGAGCTCTTGTGTGAACAGATGCATTGTCAATGAGCAGTAATAATTTGAAAGAAATAGTTTTTTCTAAGCAGTAGTTCTTAACAGTGGGCTTAAAATATTCAGTAAACCATGCTGTAAACAGATGTCTTCTTATCCAGGCTTTGTTGTTATGTTTATAAAGCATAGGCAGAGTAGATTTAACATATTTTTTAGGAGCGCTGGGATTTTCAGAATGGCAAATCAGCATTAGCTTCAACTTAAAGTTACCAGCTGCATTAGCCTCGAACAAGAGAGGCAGACTGTCCTTTGAAGCTTTGAAGCCAGGTGCTGCCTTTTCTTCTCTAGCTATGATAGTCCTAAATGGCATCTTCTCTCAATATAAGGTGGTTTTATTTATATTATCTATATTGTTTAGTATAACCACTTTCCTCAATTATGTTAGTTACGTCTTCTGGATAACTTGCTGCTGCTTCTCCATCAGCACTTGCTGCTTCACCTTGTACTTTTAGGTTATGGAGACAGCTTCTTTCCTTAAACTTCATGAACGAATCTCTGCTAGCTTCAAACTTTTCTTCTTATCTTCCTCACCTCTCTCAGCCTTTGTAGAATTGAAGAGAGTTGGGACCTTGCTCTGGATTAGGCTTTGGCCTAAGGGAAAGTTGTGGCTGGCTTGGTCTTCTATCCAGACCACTAAAACTTTCTTTACATCAGCCACAAGGCTGTCTCTTTCTTATTCATGTGTTCACTGAAGTGGCACTTTTTATTTTTTTTTTTTAAATCAAACCAAATTTTATTTGAGCTCCAACCTTACTACTTACTAGCTGTGTGATTTGAGTGTTTCTTTAATCATTTCAGTCTGTTTTGTATCTGTAAAATGAATATAAAAATAGTATGTCTCTTAGAGAGTTATCATGAATATTAAGTAGGATAATAAACATGGGGTTTGTGTATAATGCTGTGCATATAGTAAGTGATTAATAAGCATTACTTATGATAGTATTATGTTAGACAAATAGCAAGGTTTTGAAATACGTAAAATGAAAAGAATATTAGGTCATTTATAGGCGTTGCTACCAGTAACTGGAAATCTAAAAATAATTTAGCTAATTATGACTTAATCATAATTAAAAAAAAAAAAGAACATTTCCCTGGGAAACGGTCATTAGTTACATTATACTGTGGAAAATGAGACTTAGATAGGCAGAGATTTACCTATTATCACACACTGGAACTAGGCCTATTTATTTTAAGACCAAATTTTTTCCACTGCATCAAACAAAATGATAGATAAATATCCAGATCAGCCTATGTTAACTATCCATGAAGTGGCACTTTTAATTCCCCTCAGGAACTTTTCCTTTGCATTCACAATTTGGATAACTGTTTGGCAAAAGAGCCCCAGCTTTCAGCCTATCTTAGCTTTTGACATCGCTTCCTCACTAAACTTAATCATTTCTAGCTTTTGATTTAACATAAAAAATGTGAGACTTGTTTTCACTTCAACACTTAGAGACCATTGTAGATTTATTAATTGGCCTAATTTTAATATTATTGTGTGTAAGGGATTGCAGGGCTCAATAAGAGAGAAGGAGGGAGATGGGGGAATGATCAGGTGGCAGAGTAGTCAGAACACCCAACATTTATTGATTAAATTTACCATCTTACATGGGCACAGTTCATGGTTGTCAAGGAAAAATGACAATAGTAACATCAAAGATTACTGATCACAGATCACTATAACAGATATAATAAAAATAATAAAAATGAAAAAAATTTAAATATTTTGTGAATTACCAAAATGTGACACAGAGACACAAAGTGAGCATATGCTATTGGAAAAACGGCACCAATAAACCATGGCACCAATAGAGTTGCTCAATGCAGAGTTACCACAACCCTTCAATTTGTGGGGGGGAAAAAAAAGCAATATCTATGAAGTACAATAAATGAAGCACAATAAAACAAGGTATGCCTATTGTCATTTATGATCTTATCTAATTCTCTCTGATAAAACACATGTTCCTCAAAGGCAGGGACTATGTCCTGCTTATTTTTCTTTTTTAATCTTCCAGTGACTGTCATAGTAGGTAATCATTAAATAGTAGTTGAATTGGATTTTCATTAGCATCTGGATTTCTAATTTTGAAGGAACGTGATCTTTCTTTTGCCATTTTAAAATTGATTTGAAAAACAAATGTACAGGAAGCATCTGGATCCATAACAGCAACATTCGAGTGCTAGATGGAAGGTCACATGGGAAGAGCAGCCCCTGACCAGAATGCCGGCCAGGGACAGACTGTTTAAATGGACTTGGACTCTGGCTCCTTTGACTTCTTTTCCTTTCCTCTGAATAGGGGTGAGCTAGAGTACTGTGAGATGTGACTTATTGAACATTACCCTGTACCTAGCACCTCTTTAGCAATTTTCATCATTAGCTTGTTTAATCTTTGTAATCTTTTCATTTAATCTTTGAAGAATACGTTATTCCCATTGCATAATAAACAAAGACATAGCAAAGTCAAATAACTTGTTTAAAATCATATAGTGAACAAAGATTTTGACTCAGATACCAGCTCCAAACTCATGTGCTTGCCCATTCTAGACTATGCTGACTCCCAGACACAAGCTAGAGAACTCTCTTGGAAAGGAATAGCCTAGGAAAACATGAGAGATGCAGCACTGTGTTAAAGACAGAGTTTTTAAAAGTCTTTTAAGAATGGAATAGATGGATAGCAAGATGTAGCAATGGGTACTATGTCTGTTGATTCTCACACCATTTGAGGCAATTTTGATTATCACCAGATCTGGAAGCCACTGCTCAGGTAGACAGTGTGAATGTGGTAGTTGGAAAACTATGGTTCAAAGCCCATCACAGCCAATGACCAGTTAAGTGAAGTTAGAGCTAGTTATGCAAACTTTGTCAACTCAGTATTCTCATCTGTAGAATGGAGAACATAATTCCCTCTTGGATGTTTATTTTAAGAACAGAAAGAAGGAATTAAATGTGATTAAATGACCATAAAAGAGGAAAAATTGATACCATGATACTTAAGACACAAGCAATTAGAGCACCCTTTAAACATGTTTTTTAGATACTGTCTCTTTTATTTCCCAAAAGTAACCAACTCCAGGTGATAAAAGATGTTATTTTAATGCATGTCTATGGCTGGGCATGGTGGCTCACACCTATAATCCTAGCACTTTGGGAGGCTGAAGTGGGAGGATTGCTTGAGTCCAGGAGTTTGAGACCAGTCTGGGTAATGTATTGAGACCTCATCTCTACAAATAATTTAAAAAGTGAACCAGGCATGGTGGCACACACCTATAGTCCCAGCTACTCGAGGTGCTGAGATAGGAAGATTGTTTGGGCCCAGGAGGTTGAGGCTGCAATGAGCCATGATCGTGCCATTGCACTCCAGCCTGGGCAACAGAGTGAGACCCTGGCTCAAATAAATAGCAATAATAATTATAATAATAATAATTCATGTCTATCTTTGTGCAAGAAGCTTTCCTGACCCAACCCTAGGCTCAGTGACTGCCCTTTCATGGTGTTTCTGGAGCACCCTATGCACACGTCCGTTTTTGTCCTGCCTCACCCTATAGTAACAAATCTATAAAAGAATTTTGTCAAGATGGCCCTGAGGCAGAGCAGGAGGGGTGGCAGTGTTCCATTTTTTAAAATAGCAAAGATAAGGCCAGGTGTGGTAGTTCATGCCTGTAATCCCAACACTTTGGGAGGC